TTGATGAATTTCAGAACTGTTTAGATTATGATAAGGATGTTGTTTTCTTGCGTGATGAATTCTTTTGCAAGGAACTAATTCATGCCTTTGATTTGGAAACAACATTCCTGCAGAATTTCAATCCAGACGTAATAAACAATGATATGATGAGCCGTGGTGGAACCCCATTTGATCGAGCCTATATGAACGTGAGCGTCTACATCCAGGGCAATGATCCAACACCTTTAGGAGTCATTTGTCTGATGGATGTGAGTAATGATACACCGCTACGATACGAATCAGATGAAGAAATAAGCAACCGAATTTGGAAGATGGTAAACGACATAACAAAATTCCAAAAGGTCAATCCAAAAACTGTCAAGGCTATGGTAAACTTTACCGGAAAAACCTATCGTGAAATGATCAAAGATGAACATATGGTAATCCATCAACTAATCGATGAGATGGATGAACCAGTAAAATTTCCAATAACTGTGATCAGAGTTGAAGGAGAATGTGACTTCTATCGTGCATTTGCCAAAATGCAATATAACATTTGCCCACACGTAATGATCGGTCATAATTCTAATGGGTTTGATATGCCATTTATCATGCGAAGATTGGAGTATCTTGGTGCGGAAATGATGGAAGAATTCTACCAGATCGCAACTGGAAAAAGGATGAGTTACGGTGAGATGTTCAAGTATAAGGTAATTCGTAGCGAAAATATTACGATCGCTCAAAGTGAGAATAGTGATGATTTTATTTATATTAAGTTCGATGGTACTCTGTTCTGGGACTCGATGACCATATTTCGACGTGACTTCCCTGGTAAACAAAGCAGTCTGAACTACATGTTGGACACATTAGAGATCCCATCAAAGGTTGGATTGAGTTACAAACGCATCAGCGAGATAGTTCAATTGGCCATCAGAAATCACGAGATCGAAAACCAAATCTCAAAACTAGATTCAAATTCGATCGATTTCCAAGATTGCAAAGAGCAACTTGAAAATAAGAAAAGAGATCTTTTTCAAAATGAGACCGAATTGGAAAAATTATGTACGGATATTCTTGAGTACTGTTTTTACGATTCTTGGGCCGTTCTGTTAAGCATAGTAAAGATGCAAAAATTAGTATCGTATCGTTTGGATGGTATGATATACAATTGTGAGTACGCGCAGCCATTCCGTGGTGGGAAGACAAGCATGTTGAACTGCCTGATAGCGAAAAACTATAACAAGAGTTGTTATGATAAACCGGTATCCTACGGGATCAAGGAAAAGAAAGAAAAATTCCAGGGTGCCAATGTGTTGGATCCTCAAACTGGCTACTACATGGATCCAGTATATACTATAGATTTTTCCGGATTGTACCCATCGATCATGCGTGAATACAACATGGGTCCAGACACCCTTCGATACGAAAAACCAAATGAAAAACATTATACCATCCCATTGGTTGATAATAATACGGGTGTGGAACAAGAAGTGTATTTCATTCATGAAGAAGTGCAAGAAAGCATCTTGCGCAATATACTTACCGATCTGATCAAGAAAAGGAAAGAGAGCAAGAAAGAGCGAGACAAATATGCAGGTGTTGATGACATCATGTACGGTATCCTCGAGCAGAAACAACTTGCGTACAAATCATCAGCAAATGCTTTGTATGGTGGACTTGGTTCTGAATATCTCGGCATCACCACTCCAATGATATCTCAGTGTGTGACCTTTATCGGCCGAAATCAGATATCAGATATGAGAGATTTCATCCAATCCTA